ATCTTAGCCATGAGGCCCTCCTCCACTGTCTAAGTTGCTGGTGGAGGTCCTCATCTTTAGCCAGCCGACAGCCCTGCTCACCGCCAGCTGCCATGCGAAAGGCCTCTCTCTCTAGCTCCTTGGTATCTTGGGTGCCTAGCTTGTCCAGAATCAGCTGCAACGACTTCTCCCTTAGCCAGTTTCCAGGAGGAGCCTGAGGCCAGGTTCCTAGCGCTCGCTTGCCAGCGTCCTGGGGAGCAGAGGCCTCCTCCAGCGGGAAAATCCTTTGTGGCACCTAGCTGTTGACAGGCCCTCGGGGGGCCGAACCCTCCCTGAAGCCTGGACCCCTCCGGCTGCTTGACGGTGTAGCCGGGGCCCGGGTCGGGCTCTGTCTGGTCGTAGCAGAAGCCAGACAGGTGTGAACTAGCGCGGCCGCCAGCCACTGGCAGAGGCGGGGTGGCCATTGTTCGGAGCCGCCTGTAGCTTTGCGCTGCAGCATGCCTCCGAAGGGCTTGCCGGAGGGAAGCGGGCCCTCGTAGTAGCCTTCGGCGTCAAAAGTGGGCGGACCTTCGAGCACACCCTCTGGTAGCGAGACCGGAGTGCGGAGCAGAAGTCGCGTGGGCTTGGCGTAAGGTGTGCCAAAAGTAGCTTGGTGAAACGCCACAGTGCGCAACCCCTTGTCGAGAAGCTGGCGTAGCTGTGGCCACTGCCACATGGAGGCCGGTCTTTCTCCGGCTCGTGGTCCTTTAGCGATGGTGCCGAGGTCCTCTGGCTGTTCGAAGGCGAGGAAGGAAGCTGCACCATCTGCCACCAGCGTAGCCACTTCCCAGGCGAAGTCCGCGAAGATGTTCCCGAGGATGGCTTTATCTCTTTCGCGGGAAGTCAGCGTGTCCATGCCGCGGGGACTTTGGTAGCAACGGACCGGTCTCGGACCGCGGTGGTTAGCGAATGTGGCCCTCGAAAATGAGGAGCACGGCGGCGATAGCAGGATGGCGTCAAAGTCGCCGGCTTGGATCCTGTCCAGGTAGCTTTGTCGGACTTTGGACCTGGAGAGGTCCATCTTAGCTCCACGTAGGATGTCCACGCATTCCACGGTAGCATCGGCCTCCCAGGTGGCCGCCATGCTTTTGATACAAGTAGCCATGTCCCAGGAGCGTCTTGTTCCAGAGAAGAGGTAGAGGACGCGTAGCGTGCGTTTAGCGTAGGGTTGGGGGGGTGAAAGCGCGGACTCAAGTTGTCAGTT